CAAAATATATTTATACAGCTATTCCCTGATACTTTTACTTTTAAAAACATTTTGCATTTGATTTATCTATTTGTGCATATGAATGTGACACATATGTATGGTAATGTAAGAACAACCTTTGAGAGCTGTTTTTTGTTTGTTTGTTTGTTTGTTTGTTTGTTTGTTTTGATTTTTTTTTCCTTCCTGTGAGTGCCGTGGACTGCACTTTGCTCATCAGGCTTGGCAGCAAGCACCTTTGCCAGCTGAGTCAGCTCACCAGCCCCCTTTCTCTATGCTTTTCATGAGGGAATAGTTCTTTTTTTCTATTGACTTTTTCATAGTAGCACTTGTGGAATACAGCAGTATTCCTCTTTATCTCTGTGGGTTGCATCGTAAGAAATCCAGTCACTATGTGAAATCATGAATTATGAAAAATATTGCATGTACAATACTCTTGTTGCCCATAAATAACCAGGATAAAATTGAGCATATAAATTAGGCATATTAAGAGTTTAATAAATTAGAGTTGCAATGGTGATATAGAATAATAATTTTTTTTGTGAATACTGATCTCTGTTTATTTTTGGTTTTGTGGGGTTTTTTTAACCCTTTCAATTACAAATTTTAATCCTTGTTTCTAGTCTATCTAAGTTTTAAACATTACTACTGTGATTTGGACAGTCACTAAATAAAAGAAGGTTTACTTGAGCTCAAGGAATCAAATACTTTAACAGTTGATCTGATTGCTACTAAAAGGCACGTAACATATACAGGTCGGATACACTTGCTGAAGAGATGACATGGGAGGAGCAAGATGTGGGAGGACACCATAAGATTTCACCCTGTTCCTTAGGTCAGTATGCAATGTAAAACTTATGAAGTGCTCAATTTTAATTTACCGTTTATTTCTGGAACATGGTTGACACGATAACACATTAGTATATATAATATATATTATATTCATGCAAACAGAAACAGTTTAAATTTAGGTTTAAATGTTATAGAAAACAAATACAAAGTGAAGATGATGCAAAAAATCTAAAAGAAAAAAAAAAAACAGGAGAGGAGAATTCTGTTCTAGGACTCAGACACCTCTGGCGAAAATCTCATGTTTCACTTTATATGTCTTTAAACTTAATCCATAGAGAACACCATGTGATGCTTGGCAAATACTTTCCCCCCACTCTAGTGGGCTGTGCTGTGGCAGTGTCTGATCAGTGAAGGTATTTTAGGTAAACAATAATACGTACATAGACGCACAAAGAATATTTTATTCACATATGTATTAAAGTTGTTTGCAATCTTACTTGTAAAGTTGCTTACAATGAAGCATACTGCTTTCTTAAATTGTTTATGAGACATCATCTGTATCATCTATTGATTTTAGAGCCGGGGTCTCACAGTAAAATGTGACACATATGAGGGCCAGCAGCATCTCTTCGCAGATTTTCTTATAAGTAAAGGTTTTCTTTTTATGGATATGAATAGCCCAAACCTGGATTCTGTGACTTCAGAGTCAAACCCAAGTTCCATATATATATATATATAGATATATATATATATATATATATTTATATATATTTATATATATTTATATATATATATATAAAATAATGTAACCCATTCTTGAAAATTAGGAAATATCTAGGAATATTGCATTAATTATATGATATGGTCTCAAACTGATGACAAAGTTTTGAAGGCTTTATATATTTTGCTCACAAACATTTCCTTATTGAATAATTTAGTCGTTTAAAACTATTTTAATATTCCAGACTCAGAAAACATAATAATAATAATAATAATAATAATAATAATAATAATAATAATAATGATTCTTCACCAGCTTTAAAGGCCAGTTTTCTCTCCTTCTTGCTTCAGTCTGGTCATCTATGAAATAATTTTTAACCTGGATCAGTAGTTTCTTAAGTGGATGTGTATTTCTAACATGAATTTAAATCTCAATTATGATTAAAGCTAGCCAACTACAAAGATATTTTTTTTCTTAAGCCTTTCCTGATACACCCCCTTCTCCTACTCTACAGCCCTCATTAAATTTTTCAGCTCCTGTAGGGATTACTCAGCTTTGGAAAGCTGAGTGATGTTTGCCATTCAAGCTTCCTGGTAGGATCTCTGCTTCAAGTGGGAGGAGAAGAACATTATCACAGGCACACACAATGTTGCATAATGTTGTATGTTACAGCACAGTGATACACCGAAGTCTCATGTTCAGAAAGGGAAGGTCAGAAAAAGACCTGCTTACCTAGTGTTCTGGGAGGATGCTGAATTCTATAAGCACACACTTGAAAAGGTAATTAAGAAGGGATAATGTAAGTAAAACATACACATGACGTGTGAGTAAGTTCTCTCTAGGCTGGTCTGTTTCTCAGAGTGAACCACAGGGAGTAATTTCTGACTGCAACTGTTACCAGGGTTGAATAGGTGCTTCCCCATTAGATATCTGTTTAAGTGGACAGCTGCTAGCCCAGTTCCTCCAACTGGGGAAAATAGCACATGAAACAGATGCAGTAGACAGCATTGGAAAGGGCAGGTCACTCAGCCGATAGAGTGTGGATTATGGGTGAGAGAGATAGAAACGAGACAATTATTTCTAAAAAAATTTTTTTTTGAAGAGAGTATAAGAAGTACGCAAGCTTCCCATTGGTAATGGCATCTCAGAAAAGAATAAAAAAAATGCCTAAGCTTCTATGACATACAAAAGGCATAAAAGGGTATACAAGGAACAAATTCAAGATAGAAATGGATATTGATATTTCACTTACAGTATGTTCATAAAATCCTGAGAGTGTTCAAATAGGCAGATTTATATGATGCTAATCAGAGAGTGGAAAAAAGGCACATTAATGAGTAAGTAGTACAGTTATTGACCCAGCCAGAACTTAGAAGTCTTTTATTTACTTCTATTAGCAGATACTAACTGTATATCTTCCAAAATAGAGTGTAATGTCTTGCTTTATAGATAGATAGTAGTAAAGGTGTTTAAGTTGCTCCTCATCTCAGATAGTTCGCACTTCTAATTCTGTTCATGAAATTGCCGTAGTTGTTTCTAGGAATCTTGAGCACGTTTCACATGTCTGCTTACTGTTTTCCTGTTAGCATGACATGTCTCAGACTACACACAAGAGACGTAGTCATCTTCACTTAACAAATGTCTGTTATGGGCAACATTACCTCTAACACTGGACCTGATTTTAGAACTTAGCCCCTCAGAGCAACACTTGACTAACGTTCATCCTTAATAAATTTTGAGACTCTGACATTCTGTGATTTCTGTTCTAAACAGCTCTATAGATGTTTAACAATTGTCTCTTCTCTAGGACGGTTATCATAGAATCATTCATTGTTCTTTCTCTTCACTCATCCAAGGAACTTAGTTTCTGCAATTATGTAAAAGCCTTTACTGATTCATTAAAATAATTAAAAAAAAAAAAAACCTAAGTCTTCTACTTATAAGAGGGTTAATGGCAGCATCTAGTACAGAAATAAGTACAAAGGCAACATTCTTGGGTATTGCCTTGTCTGCCTGCCACCTTCTTTGTACCATGGTCTCTATTTTTCTTAACCAGACTAGCTGAGGAGCTACTGAAAAAAATCTGTGTCTTCCTTGCTTTTCACTCTACGAAAGATGGCAACTCACATGTACACATCTTGCTTTAGTGGTTCCTTGGATTAAAAAATCTGATCCTCACGCTTGGGTACCAGATTCTTTACCCATAAAACCATCTTTACAGCCACAAATCCAAGAAAGTATAGATATCAGTTGCTGTATCTCAGTCTTGACACATTAGTTATCGCTGCTAAAACTGAAATTATGAGACCTGGCTGGTCTTATTCAAATTTAAATAACACAAGTCCATAGCTACAAGGACCTTATCTTTCAATGCTTTTCTTACCTTAGTGTTCTTCATTTGATTAAATTCAATATTTGCATTTTATCAGAACAGAACTATTGTTATTATCTTATTCTCCCTAGTATGCTACCTACAGTTATCCCACAAATTATATTACACGAAACTTCATAAAAATCCAACTAAATACAGTTCTACCACTATAACCCAAGAGATTATCATCTTTCACACGGATTGCTGAATAGATGCTAATCTCTTTTCCTACTCTTACCTCCTTCAATGTATACTGAACATATAGTGTCAAAACACCATAGCTCAGATGCCCTGCTTCTGGACCTTATTCTTCAAATGCATAAATTAGAGTATCACTTCAAGGTTCTATGCTTTTGCTGAAGGTGATACTCTACAATATAGCTCCATGCATCAGCTTCCCCGTCATCTGAAGACTTTCTCAACTGTACCCTCTTAGAGATGCTTGGGTACTCATAGTAACACTTTCTGTTTCTTCCATGTCTAATATTCTACGGTACTATGCACCACTGTCTTTCATAATATATTTATACATTATATTGTTTACTCATTATCATGACCTCCTAAGATTTGTGGGTGAGAGGGATGGTGTTAATTTTGGTCCCTGTGACTCTCTCTAAAACCAAAAGCTACTGATTATAGTGGATGCTCAGCAAACATTTGGGTGGAATTAATCAACTAGTGCTAAGTAATGAACTGGAGGAAAAATCATAATGAGTGGTCTACTTCATATACCTAATTTATAAAATAAAAATAATTTAGAACCTATTAATTAAATGTCGAGTTTTGAATGGCTAGAGCATAACAAAGAGAAAATAAAAGCTAATTCAAATTGTCATCAGAATATTTTCCACAGCTTTTTAAAATATTAAATGGAGGTATTACTACTAGCATTACAAGGAATGAAGACATCTGAATGAATATAATTCAAAAACTATTCACACAAAGAAATCCACCTTGACGTCTCAGCTATAGAATATATAATTAAGGCTATTTCAATTGTAGTTAGATTATCCTTAATAGTTTACTTGCCTGTTCTGTGCACTAAATTTCTTAACTTCAGAAACAATTCAGCATCATGTGGGAATAGGAAGATTTGAAAAATTCTAAGATTTAACATACCGTGTTGCAAAAGAAAAGTTCTTTGACTTTGGTCTCCTTATTCAGTTTTTGAGCTTACAGTGGAAAAGGATTAGTATTCCTCAAGTCATGCTTAATTGTTCCCAAGCCTAGAAACAGGGTAGCATTTCCTAAAAAAAAAAAAAAAAATTCTGTTTTTCAGTTTCAAGAAAAGACTCCAGGACTTTTCTGGGGTTTTATTTCCTACCCAAATCATGCTAACTCCTGAGACAATAGCCTTACAACTTTGCTACCTGCAGGTTACCTGCAAAAGTAACATGCTTTATTATTACTGTTGCGGGGCCTCATCTGTAGTTCCCATCTAAATAAATTCAACTAATCAGCCGATAGAAAAATGGCATGGATTTCTATAGCAGGGTCATAGGAAAGCAAGCCTGAGGTTTTACCAGGATGGGAGTAGGGGCAACTTGTACCAATCAATGGCAGAATATGCCAGCTGCTCTTTTCAAGTTCTGTATTCAGTGATATAATGATGGTGGTTGAAATGGTCACAGCAAATGTATTTATATTACACAATGAGGTACACACCACAGAGGAGAGATTTGTTTATTTACTTAGCTTTCTGTTTTTATAGGACACGGAATGATTCTCCCTTTCCATTTTGAAGTGAGCGATCTAAACATTCACTCAACCTTGTCGTTTTTGGTTGCAGCACCTCTTTGTGCAGCACTCACTTTCGGAGTTGCTTTCTATTGTAGACGCATACTATTCTATCGAATCGCATGATTGTTTCAAATAGTAAACGTTTACGGCCTTGAATTTTGTGCTTTATGGTTTGGCTTCTTGAACAGTAATTGTGTGCTGTGAAATGTTTTGCTTTACTGCAGATATATTTCATTATGCTTGCAACATTAGTGTGAGGTTTAAAAGACGTAAAATATGGGAAATTAAACATTAGAAATTTTCATGGTATTCAGTAAGCTTGTTTCTGGAAAAAAAAACTGTCAAGAGAAAGAAATGATGTGCTGTCACTGAAGTGTTTCATCTAGCAGGGGTATGTGAGATGGAAACCTCCACTCTGCAAACTGATTTTTATTTTAAAAGGTGTTTTGAATATACTAGTAAATTCTAAAGAAGATCAGGTAAGCTGGACTGTAGCTGGGAGATGCAATTTTTTTTTCTGATATATCTCAGAGTTGTCTCTCTCTGACCTCTCAGACCTAAGCTAAGCACTATGAATATGCACTCTTCAGAAATTACATCATTGCAAAGCTCCCATCCTCAATCAAAATGAAGCTGATCAAAGTATCTGTCCTTATATCTATTTTTTGATTCATTTTAAAACATATTCTATGTTTACCTTTGAGGTATAACTAAGTACTTTGTGAATGATTCTCAACATCCTTATGAATTTGTTTAAGGTCTACACTCCTGTACTGGCTTGTTCTGCACTGTGAGAAATATATTGCTTTGTTTTTATTCAGAATGAAAAAGTTGTAAAAGAAATAAAGATAAAATGCAACCACTCTATGTTGCTTTTCTAAAAATAGTAAGAGCTGGAGAGGACAGAAACTCCACAAGGAGAGCAACAGAACAAGATAATTTGAACACAGGGAACTTCCCAGAGACTCATACTCCAACCAAGGACTATCCGTGGAGATAACCTAGAACCCTGACAATGCAGCCACTTCTGATGAGAACTGATAGACTAAGATCAGAAAGGAGAGGAGGACCTCCCCTATCAGTGGACTTGGGGAGGGGCATGCATGCAGAAAGAAGGGGAGGGTGGGACTGGGAGGGGAGGAGGAAGGGGCTTATGGGGGATACAAAATGAATAAAGTGTAATTACTCAAATGCTGCCTTCATGGCAACTTAAAACGTCCTTTGCTTTATCACAGGGCTTGAGTATAGTAGCAGACACGAGACACAACACCCTTCTGTTCCTACCAAAGATGAGGAAACCTGGTGAGCTAAAATCTCAACGAATGGAAGTGCATTAATTAACGTAGCGAGTAACCATGTTGTTTTGTTTACTTGTTATTGGTTAAAATGCTTAATAATAAAACCATTTAAAACACTTTAAAAAAAAGTTAAAAAAATCAAATCTAATACAATATTTCAAATATCTTTTTAACATATAGCAATTTCTTTTTCTAATAAAATGCTTTCTGTATTTTTCCTTTGGATCATGAATACCATTTCATCTTATAATAATACCATAATATGCCTTTTAAATATCCTTTGGTTTTAAATACAATAATAAAGTTACTATAAATATATCAGATGGGTATTTTAATCTGATAATCCATAAAACCCTAAAATTTACAAATGAAATGGATAATTTTCTGTTGATATGCATTATTATATATCTCAACTAGTATCTGCCCCTGTAATTATGAAAAATTGTGACAACTACAGTTTAAATGTCAGATAAAATATTTTCATTAGACTCTAAAATGCTTTTTCTGTTCTCCACCTAATCTTTTATGCAGAAAACCTGTTAAAAACAATTTCCATAAAACAAGGCATGTCACTTGTAAGTACTCCCTGAATATTAGCAGTAGAATATGCTTATAATTTTAGAATATGCTAAAAAACTGTTCATTAATGTAGAGTTGTTATAAACATAATGTATATATCATCTATCTACCTTAACACCACCCTCTTTTTCTTTATTTGGCAGCCTGGGATTAATGAAGGAAAACATTTCTTCTAAAAAGTAAGCCTTTCATAATGAAATCCAGGAGCAACCAGAATTTCTTTATTCTTTTATTAGTACTAAGAATATTCATTATTTTGAAAATTTGCTTAGTGTAACCTGATTTATGCAATGTATGGAGAATTGCCCCAGGGTTCATAACACAGGTCAAAGAAATTGGCAAGCACAGCACTCCTGCCTCTGCTGTTGTCAGGTTTTCCTAGTGACTGACAGAGGCTTGCCTTTTGTGTCACTAGAGTTCCAAGAACTGGATTCATGCTGCTTTCCATCAAGGCTCTTGCTGGTTTGCCCAAGCCACTGCCATCCCCTAGCAAAGGAGTGTAGTACTGGAGAACATTTGCTCAGATTCACATGTCAAGAGCTTTTTATATTACTAGATAAAGCTTTTGCTTTAGGTAACTCTATAGCCATTATTTATGTGATTCCCCAACATGAAGCGCTTTATTATAAGTTAATAAAATTCAGAATTCTTCTTTGAACTATGTTTAATGGTAGAATTAATTACTGTCACCATAAACAATCGTGATAAATAATCTTGCCAGCCCAATGGTCTTCTAAAATTCTTTTCTGTAGATACTTTATTTTGGTTTGTATGGGACAGATACTAAGATCCATTCCTGACCTACAACTATAATTCCAAACACATGATACATCAAGGGGCTATGGTAACAGGAATTTAGTGACAGTTTAGGACAAGATGGGCCCATTTGAAACCAAAAACTGTATTTGTACATTATGATTACATATATGTATGTATAGTATATGTATATTAAGTATGTAATTCCAGCAATTAGAAGGTGGAAGCAGAAGGATCATAAACCAAGGCCTGTCTCTGACACAAAGTAAGCCTGAGATGTTTAGGGCTAACACACACACACACACACACACACAGACACACACACACACAGGAGAGAGAGAGAGAGAGAGAGAGAGAGAGAGAGAGAGAGAGAGATAGAGAAAGACAGACGAGAGACAAACAAAAGACACAGAGAGCCTTTAAAAAAATTCTTATTAGACAAATGACAAGGAAAGGGAAGAGTATTAAAAAATAGAAATTCTAAGCTGTCAAGATGGCTCAATAAGAAAACAGAAAATACTTTACAGCAAAGCTTGAGAAGCAAAATCCTTTGTAGTCATATGATAGAAGGGAGAACCTATTTCCATTCTGGACTCCTCCTCCCCTTGCACTAACATACATGTCATAGGATGCATGCTTATACAAAGAAATGAAGAAACCAAACAAATAAATGTGTTTTTATACCTTCCTCTGAGGGGGGAGCAGCCTTGCCAGGCCACAGAGGAGGACAATGCAGCCAGTCTTGATGAGACCTGGAAGGGGAGGAAGACCTCCCCTATCAGTGGACTTGGGGAGGGGTTTGGGAGGAGATAAGGGAGGGAGGGTGGGATTGGGAGGGAATGAAGAAGGGGATTACAGTTGGAATACAAAGTGACTAAAATGTAAGTAATATAAAAACTAAATTAAAAAATAGAGACAAAAAACTTTCAAGTATTTTTTCCATCAAATTAAACATAAGAAACAACAACAAAAGTGGTCTTATCCAGGATAGCCAGGGTTCCAGAGAAACCCTATCTTGAAAAAAACAACAACAAAAAAAGACCTTAACCCAACTCTTTTTTTTCTTTCCAGTTCTTTTATTCTTTTTTTATTTTTAATTATACTTTATTTACTTTGTATCCCCCCTCTAGCTCCCTCCCTCCACCTCTTCCAACCCCTCCTTTTCTCCCCCTTCTCCACACACTCTCTTCCCCAAGTCCACTGGTAGGGGAGGGTTTCTTTTACTTCCTTCTGATCCTAGTCTGTTAGGTCTCATCAGGAGTGGCTGCATTGTCTTTAGTACAGCAGATCTGTACTGGAAACTAGAGATTTCACTCTCCAGCAGGTTACATATAGCAAGGTGTTTCAAATTCCCAAGAGTGACATCAAAGAGGACTTTCATCTTTTTTAAGCAGATAAAGGATAAAGTATGCACTACCCTTTGCAACATCCATGAAGATGACACATCTCCAAAATATAATTAAACAAATACACAGAAATTAGTTAAAACAATAGACAACAACAATAAAAACAAAACAAAACAGAATCAAACAAAAAGAAACAAAGAGAAGAAAAGCCTGTATTTGTTTTATTCTATTTTGCAAGTGTTGTTTTTTAATGTTGTTGCTTTGTTTTGTTTTGTTTCTTGTTTGTCTTATAAAAAAAAAAAAAAGAAAAAGAAAAGAAAGGATACAGTTGGGTGGGTGGGGAGCTGGGGAAGATCTGGAAGGAACTGAGAGAAGAGAAACTTTGATGAGAATATATTGAATGAGCCAGGTGTGGTGGTGGTGGTGCGCTACTGTAATCCCAGCACTTTCGAAGGCAAAGGCAGGTGGATCTCTTATTTGAGGCCAGTCTGTTCTACAAAGCTAGTTCAACTCTGCCATCTGCCCCTGAGTCTCATCAGGACTGTCTGGATCCTTTTCCTCTGTGGCCAGGCAAGGCTGAATCAACAGGGGCATGTGATCAAAGAGCAGTCTATCAAGTTCATGACAGAGGCAGACCCTGCTGCCCTTACTCATGACGCACGCCATGACTGAGCTGTCTATCAGCTACATCCGAGAGGGGGTCTAGATCTTCTCCATGCATGGTTCTTGGTTGTCTCTGGGTTCAGGATTTTTAGCTTTGTCCCCTTTTCAGTGGACTGGAGGAAGGAGATAGGGGGAAGAGGCAGGAGATTAGGACTGGGAGGAGTTGAGGGAGTGGGCTTCAGTTGGGATAAATAATGAATAAATTGTAAAAAAATAAATAAATGAAAGAAAAAGAAAAAAAAAGAACAATAAAACAAATAAGTCCAGGACAGCCAAGGCTACAGAGAGAAACCCTGTCTCGAAGAAACAACAACAACAACAACAAAAAAACAATAACAATAACAAAAAGATTGCATGAAAGAAATCTATTTTAAAAATAAATGAATAAAGAAACATATCTCACAAAGACTCAGTACCACCTAGCAATAAAAACCCTTATGTCTCCCTCCTCACTGTGTCAGTGGTGGACAAATGGGTAACGAAAGACACTGTTACAACTATCAGGAGCATCAAAAATGTAATGCAATACAGAAAGACAATCGATGTCTACTCCCAAAGAAACAAAAGATATTAAGGTCATAAAAAATACCTTTGGTTTCAAAATTAACTCAGTAGAACACATTTATTTGCTTATATTATATCAAATATAAAATATTTTGGAAAATGCATAGAAGAAATTTTTCTTTGAGATTTAAGAGTATATAAGCAAAGTAACAGTTTGAGTCATGATGGAAAAATCTGATAAAACAGGTATCACTAAAATAAAAATATCATATAGTGGCTTATTATGTTGTTAAGACAATCAGCAGATTGTAGAAAACATTTGTCAGTCAAGTTTAATATTGACTGATACAGAAATTTTAATGAAAAGAATGATTACAAAGTGAAAGTTTAAAAGCCAAACAATCCTATTTGAAAATAGGTGAAGGATGAGCACATAACACAGTAAATATCTACAATGAGGTACTACTGCCTCGTTGTCAATGTGTCCAAAACATGATACATGCAGTTTTCTCCTGAGCTTCAACATTACCCAGCATTTCTGGGCTGATACCAGCGAGGACACCTTATAGCATGTATGCAAACTTCTCCTTTAATATATTAAACTCCAGTAACTCAACACTCTGGATCTTGTTCTTGCAGCCAGGCTAGGCGATCCTGCATTTATTAATTAAATCATTCTTGGGGGTGCAGTTTTTCATTTTAAATTTTCCATTATTTGCTTAACAGATCTTGGACAAGTCCACTAAAATATTCAGTGTGCAATATTCTGTATACAATGAAAATAACCTGAAAGAATGACACAGTTATTATAAGTGTGGAGCACGAAGAGGATTGTAGAGAAAGGAACATAGAATGCCACACTCAATGCAAAATTATCAAAATACACCAGGCTAAGAAAAATAATCAGCAGAAAGCAAAGTAGGAAACATATAAATCCACTGCAGAACCCAAGTTCATGAAGAAAATGTTACATCTAAAAAGAAGACAACAAACTCTCTTGTAAGGAAGGATGATAAAAATGTATGTATACTAAAACTCCTTTTTTCTTCTTCCTGTTTTTGTATTGTTTCAGTTTCAGTCCTTGAGTGTTGCCAGGATAATATCTATTCTCATTATGCCACTTAAGGGAGAAAAGGAAAGAAAACAAAACCAACAAACTTGAAGCATTCTTTCTCTTTTTACTCATGTTCCTTTTAGAGCATAGCATGTCACCTTTCTAATGATTTTTTGTTCTTAATAACACTTTTTACCCACAAGGTCTTGTTTACCTGTATGCTTATGTGATTTCTTAGACAAATCATCTTCTTTAATATTGATTTATATATGCATATAAATCAATATTTGATATATATTAAATATAAATCAATATTTATATATAAATAAATCAATATTATTGAGCTTAATCTACAGAATGTGCTATCATTGCCTCCTGGGATGACTATGTCAGTATTATTGTGGGACAAACATTATAATATTGGCAGAAGACAGCATGAGAGAAACCTATTTGGTTTCTGTTTCCCAAGTAACATTTTTTTTTCCTCATCCCTTTAAAACTCCATCAGGAATTCAAGTAAGTATTTGTCACTTAAAATGGCAGGTACTATCTTCTCCCTTATCATGAATGGTGCTGAATGTCAAAGCAATTTGATTTTTTTTCCTTTTGTTGAAACACAGTGAAAACTACAGCTGAGCAAGCAGGCTATTTGCATTTCCCAGACTGAACAACTTGGGTTGCTTTGACTCTAAATAGTACTAGATTTAGCAAGAGAGAAGGCTATAACCCGTGTCCTCAGCCCACACAAGGCCATTTCTGTTGGGTGACTTGCATTTTCATTCTTCCTTATAGGTTCATTCAAGCAAGAAAAACATTGTCAATAATCCTGCAGAAAATACCTTCATGCTGTCACCACATCAAGTTTTCCAATAAGCAAGCTTCCGAAGGGAGAGTAAAGACAGTTGCCTTACCCAAATACTCTGTTCCATATTAATGATCCAAATGCTGCCCCAGCTTCAAAACAACAAAAAAGGTGGCACATCACCATTTGTTGCTAATTTTATTTTGAATTCTGGCAGGCCCATTTACCACCCTTTAAAATCCCAGGGCAGCGGGTGGAAACATCTGTTTGAGTAACAGTTTGACTCCTATCATTGTGCATAAATCTCCTGTAGCAAAAGTTTTATGAGGTGGGTACTTTCCTGTTTCATCCATTTGTAACTGACTGAAGGCCCAAATAAACAAGATGAAATGGACAGACTTTCAGCCATATGCTGACATCCACATGTGTACATATGGGGAGGGAACAGAAGCTGTCAGCTGTACCAAAGAAACATTATAATTATCTGAAAAGTAATTAACCACCCCATCATCAATGGATCTTTGAAGGATTCTAGCAGTGTAAATTATAGCTCTCACATACCTGTAGCAAGTTGTCTATGTATCAGTTTTCCTGTTTGCCAAGCTTGAATCCAGTTAATTTACTGAGATCCCGAAGAGGTGTCAGGATGTCTCCATAGTGTCAACATACATACATTATTTTTTTTCCTTCGGTAATACCTTTATCAAGTAAAATTAAAGTACATAATTAGGCTTTCAGTTTATTCAGTGCTACATCTTCATCATCTTTGACTTCAGTGGGAGCTATTTGACCACTGCTATTTTCACAATAGATAGTCATAGACAGAACTTTTAAAACAAGCACATTGTGGGTCATAGTGTACTGATCTGTACCCTATGTACATCTGTACTGATCTATAGTACTCTGTCTAGGTCATTAAAGGATAAGACATACATAAAATTATTGATAAATGTATCAAATTTCATTAAGGTGAGCTTTTAAACTCAAATATGATTATATTCAGAAGAGCCTTTTACAGGAGATAAGTTGGATACGGTTCTGTGATGGTTATTTTTCCAAGTATTATTTTTTTTTGAATACCCTTTTCCAAGAACCTATTAGCTTCACTCTCCAGGGCAGGTATCTCTATTAGTCTTATCAGTCAAATGGAGGGAATATCAAGTTTAATGTCAATTAATCCAAATCTATGGTTCTTTTTTATTTAATTAAGGGAAGAAGCTTGGGTTCTTATTTTACTTAAAAACATCAAAATATTTGTACACAAAATTTATCTAAGATAAAAACAAAACAAGAAAACCACTTTTACATTAGACTATGGTGAATCCTAAGTAAAATACCGCTATGAGATTTATGCCATGATAAATTATATATCTTTGCTTAAACATTTTTTCCTGTTAGATAAAATTAATGAAAGAGCATGGACATCGGCCTAACACAAGGCTTCAGAAGATCAAGCCAAGATGAAGTCACTCATATTAGGCATCACATAATCAGAGTAACAGTTTATAAGACATAAAAATTCCAAAATAAGTTCATTTTTACAGAAGTGAAGGACATAAAATCTATTCCAGAAAGACCTGGTTTCCTAAAGTATAGTAATGATTGCTTGCTAGCTTTCAGTCCTTCCCAGGAAACTGTCAAAGTCGGGCATACTGGCAACCAGTCAACCTCAATTTTACCCTACACTGTTCTCTTGTCCAAGCTAGCTCACAAAACCCACTGTTCTTTTCAGCCCAAAGTATAGCTTTCTGCTCTAGTAAATGGAATGCTATCCATCTAGTATTCTTTCAAAACCAAAACAAAGCAAATTAGATCTGAACTGAATTTGTTGAAAGTTTTTTCTTCAACACCGTTGTGGTTGCTTTTCTCTTGCTGTGATAAAAACACTGGCAAAAAGTATCTTACAGAGGAAAGAGTATCTTTAATCTAACCTTCAGGTAAAAGTCCATCATTGAAGGAAGTCAGGGGTGAATCTCACGGTAGGAATTTTGCTGAAATGCAATTGATGACTTTACTTTCTAGCTTGTCTTCTCATAGACTTATGCTTAGATAATGTTTTTATACTGTCCCAAACCAGCTGCCTAGTGATGGTGCCATCTGTTGATAAGCTGGACACTCCTGAATAAATTAATAATTAAGTCAATTGCTTATAGAAATGCTCACAAGTCAATCAAAGCATTTGAACATCTGGGCAATATTTTAGTCAAAACTTTACTCTCAGGATCTAAGGTGATTCAAGTTCACAATTAAAGCTAATTAGGTTGGGCGCAGTGACACATAACTGTAATCCCAGCACTTGGAGAGGCAGTGTCAGGCTAATTTCTGTGAGTTCAAGGCCAGGCTGGTCTACAAGAGAATCCAAAAAAGCCAAGGCTACACAGAGAAACCACTGTCTCCAAGAACCTAATACCGAAACCAAAAGAAAGAAAGAAAATAAAAGCTAACTAGGATAGACACCATATCATTTTGAGGTTTTTGTTTTGGCCATTGCTGTTTTGGATGTACAAGGCTTATCTAAATAAATTCAACAGAAAATTTCATTAATTTAAACCAGTGGGTCTTTAGCCTTTCTAATGCTAAACCCTTTAATAAAGTTACTCTTGTTGTGGTGACCTCAGCCATTAAATTATTTTAGTTGCTATTGTTATGAATCATAATGTAAATACATTTGTTTTCGAAATGGTCTTAGGCAACCCCTGTGAAAAGGTTATTCAAACCCCAAAGGAAATGATACCCATAGGTTGAGAACTGCTGACTAAAATTATTATACTTATAAATTTTAATATTCTGATATTAACTATATTTATTAAGAGACTTTCAATCCTGTATTGCTTCTTGCTTCATTTCTTAAGATCATTATAACAGAATAACAAAACCCTTCTATCATTTCATGTTTAAGAAATAGCTAACCGAGCAGAGGCTGCCTCTATCATGAACTCAGTTGCCTTCTCTTTGATCACTCGTCGCTGGAAATGTGGCCTTACCAGGACACAGAGAAGATGAACCACATAGTCCTGATGAGACTTGATAAGCTATGGGCAGATGGCAAAGGAGGAGGATTCCCCCTTTCAGTGAACTAGGGGAAGGAGATAGGGTGGAATTGGGAGGGAGGAAGGGACTGGGAGGAATTGAGGGATGGGGCTTCAATCAGGATATAAAATGAATAAATTGTAAAAAAAAAAAATGAAATAAAAATGAAATAGCTAATCAGGTGCTGGAGAAATAGCTCAATCGTTAAGAGGACTGTTTGTCTACCCTGTTTACAGAAGTTGGCCAATCCAGGCTCCATATCCTCCTTTCCTAGGGGCCCTTGCTAGGATCAGCCCCATAGGATCCAGGAAGTTGTCTCCACTGCACAAGGTTTCCACATTGCCCCCTCCATGCCCACCTATTCCGGTCAACTCTATCCATACTCTCTCCTCCATTCCTCTCTGCTTCATCTGATTGCTCCTGTTCTCATCCCCATACTCCCTAGGTTTACTCTCAAAATCTCCCTTCCAGGAAGATCCATGCTTGTCCTCTAGAACTGTCGTGTTTATGTAACTTCTCTGGCTTTGTGGATTGCTCCCAGTGGTGCTACTGGGATACCAACACAGCCAGAAAACCTACCACCCACAACCTTTCCTGCTTGAAAGATGTGTTTGAGGCAATGATGAGTCAGAGCTTGTGGAAGTGTTCAACAAATGACTGATCTACCTTGAGGTACAAGCCAAGAGAATGAGCACATGTCCTATAGTGCCTGGATGGTCAGGTTCCAGAGACTAGATGGTTCAAACACCTAGGGTGTCTGACATGACTGACAAAACAAACAAACAAACAACAACAACAACAACAAAGTCAATGAAATAATTCTACTTGATATTTTGCTGTATTAATAGATTGGTGCCTAGCTCAGTTGTCATCAGAGGCTTCTTCCAGCAGTTGATGGGAGCAGAAACAGAGACACATAGAAAACCATTGGGTGGATCTAGGTGAGCCCCGGAGAAGAAAGGGAGAATTGATTCTAGGAGAAAAGTGGTTTAGGAAACCAGAAGGACACAGCTCACAGCTCACAGAGATCAATTAATTGTGGGAGTGGTCAACCAATGACTGATCTACCTTGAATGGTGCTCATAGTGGCTCACAGAGACCTAAGTAAAACAGCAACCATACAGCCTCCATGGGACTGTGAAAGGTCCTCTGGGTACATGTTGTGGTTGTTCCGCTTGGGGTTTTGGTTGGACTCCTAACAGTGGAACTAGGGGTGTCTCCGACTCTTATGCCTCCTTGTGTAACCTTTTCCTAGTACTGGTTTGCCCCTTCTTGCCTTGTTATGAATATTTATCTCTAGTCTCAATGCATATTGTTATACCCTATCGGGTTGATGTACTGGAAGGCCTGTTATTTTCTGAAGGGAAAAGGAGGTGTGATGGATCTAGGGAAGTGGGAATACAGGAAGAAGGACTGGAAAGAATGTAGGGAGGGGAAGCTGCTGTAGAGATGTAGTATATGAGAGAAGAATAAAGAGGAAATTTTAAAAGAGACTCTTTCAAGGGACTCACGCTTGATTCCTAACACTCATGTGATAGCTTATGAATACCTCTAATGGCAGTCCCAGGGACTATTTTTACTTCAACAGATATCAAATATACTTATCGTTTGTAGACACATATGAAAAGAGAACACCTATACACTTAAAATAATAAATAGGCAGCCAACAATAAAAATATTCCATATTCATTTTCAGAGTAATTTCCATATTTGTTCTCTACAAATACTTTTCCATTCTGGATTTTCTTTTGAACTAGTTATCACTACTGGCTCTCTCACTGATTAATAAGTTAAGAAATTCCCTAACATGTGCTCATTCTGTATCTCTATCAATTTTGTGTGTGTGTGTGTGTGTGTGTGTGTGTGTGTGTGTGTGTTTTGAAAAATCATCTTTGACCAATTTAAAACTCCATGATCAGTGGTCCTCCACCTTCATAATGATGACAGGCTTTATATACTGTTTATTATCTTGTGGTGTCCCCAACCATAAAATTATTTTGTTGCTATATTATAACCATTTTTGCTACTGTTATGAATTGCAATGAATTGAATTAAATATTTGATATGTGGCCCCACCAAAGAATCCTCACCCTCAAGCTGAGAACCACTGTTCTAGATAGTATGGAGTGCTCTTAAAAGACAAGACTCAGCAGGGCTCTGGGTCTGGCCTGAGAGCTACAGACATTTCCTGCACATTTCCCTATCAGACACCGTGCTAGATCCTAGGGTTGCACAGTAAAAGCAGGCTTTTTCTAGCGTCAAGGTCAAGAAGACTAGGGTAAGTCCTCACTGATCATTGCCTATAAAGGTCTTCCATAGATATCCTGGAACTAAACACTTTTAATATATCTTAACTTTTTCAAAACCATTTACTTCACGCAATACCAAATTCAAGTAATTTCAAACTATGCTACCGTTTGTTGTCAGAACTCACTCTTCAAAGTCTCGCTAAGTAAATCTGGAAACCAAACAGATCTGTGTAAGAAGAGATACAGGATTACTATCTTTTAATCCTTAAAGTCACCTTGTGAGGTAGGCATTCTCCCTATTTATAGATTTTTAAAGAAATGAGGCTTAAAGAAAGTGATTTTTTTTTTAAATCATGGCACTTTAATATAGAAAGAGATAACTGCGTCTCATAGCACAGTGTCCACATTTATAGACAGAG